AGGAAAATTTCAAGAAATGTCGATTTTGGACCAAATTTATGGGCAAGTAGGTGTTCGGTTGTTTGAAGGCTCCCATTATTTTTGCAAAAAAATGGCAGTTTGCCTTGATCGAAACCCTGAAAAATGCTTTTTTCGGGTACTTCCCGTACAAAAGTGTCATTTTTCAAGGTTTTTCAGGTCCTCAGTCGGAGGCTTATGGTACGAAATTGGTAAATCAGAATGGGCTCAAAATCAATCCAAAGCTTTGTCTCGACATGCCAAAACTTTTGGCTTTTACAGATCTCAATTATCTTGTCAACTTTTTGATATAATCGGCGAACAAAAAGCTCGGACGCGAACGCGAACGACGCCATACTCACATCGCTATTTTGCACATATTTCATAGTAAACAACATGTTTTTGGGGGTAGATAGGTCTTGATCGATAGGATTTTATCCCATCTACATTGCCTAGTGTACAGATATGTGCTTTTTCAAGTTTGGCGTGACGTTATAGTGGTCCGAAAGAGGAGATGTTATGAAATTTTGGCTAGTAAAACCAATACTTTTCCATACAAACAAAGTTTGCGGAAAAGTAATAAATAAACAGCATTTGAAAGCAAACCACACACGCACACACAAGCTATCATCGGTTCACAATGAAAAAAATGACGAAATGAATGTGGATCAAAAACCGCAGTCTCTTCATTTCATTGACACCAACTCCATTTGAATGGTAGTGTTAATTACTACAAAAATTCGTATCGGAATGCACACGAAAGCATTCCAACGTGATTATAGACAAAACAAAAAAGTGCCGACACATACGTACGTCTTTTTTTTGGTTGTTTAACTTTGTGTCGATTCTAAATACAAACCATTTTTATATTATTGATTCGTTCAAAGAAATGTCAATTGCAAAGCAAAACGTGGACTTCTTGGAATGATTGCACATGTTTCGCAAAAGTGTGCAATATTGTCTGTCGCTAGTTATTTTAGCGCCGAGCCACAAAACAAAGACAAATGAACAAAAAGAGAATACAAGATCAAAATGTATAAGTGTTATCACATGTGCTAGTCAAGAATATACACACACAGCTCGTGTAGCGGCGAATCATGTGCTACTAAATTGAATGGTGTAAGTAACCGTAAGCATGTAAAATGTTGCTGATGTTATTGTTGTTGTTGACATGAAATGCCGGCATTGTATATCTCTCATTTTCTCTCACATCTCCTACAACAACAACACAAGCCATTCAAAAGCGAGATGTGCCGATTGCGCTGTGCATCTATGGTACACCAAGCAGAATGCATCTCAAAATATGAATTATGTTGCATTCTATAGTTGAACACGCTTCATCCGATTACATTTCATAGACATACGAGCTAAGCACGTGTGATATCGTGTTTAAGGTTTTTTTTCTTCTTCTTCTTCTTTTTCGTCTCATTCTTCTCTGTTCATTCACACTTTGCTAATGGTTTTTTTTTTCTATATTTATATATATCATTTCGATACGTCTGATTCTTCAATTATACGTTGAGTCGGACTTAGCAAACGATGGATTCCCCGATTTTATACGGCGAAAACGACGGGTTTTCATTCAACATTGAGCTAATGTGTAATGAGTTTTTAAAACATGTATAATGCGATAATTATCACAATCGTTATCGCTTATCAGGGATTCCGTTTTCCGTTTCACATTTAATCTTAAGACTCGAGTGTGTGTGAGAATTAAAATCGAATCAACTGCTTAAAATTGCTGTTGAATCGGCATCAAAAAAGAATTTAAATTCTTGGTCCCATTCACGACAGGTGCGCGCTGTCGTTATGGATTTTTATAAAGGAGAAATGAAAAGAACACCGCCACACCATCACCACCACCGCCAGCAACAACGACTTGCAAACGGATTTTCGGCTATTTTTCATGTTTTACATCATCATTAAATTATTATATAAAATGGAAAATCGTTCGATAACATTTAACCTACATACGAATTTCACTAAGAAATTGAAATTTAAAAAGAAGAGGCGGAAAAAAACAAATTTACATTATATCTTCTTTCAACACGTAATTATAGCTGATAACTCGCGCTATATAAAATGAATCGAATAAAATAGAACACTCGAGCCATCGTCCTCGCATCAATTTGCACAGCAAACTTCGTTACAATAGCATGGAATCAAATGAGAGTGTTTGTTTTAAACAAATTAACTCATTAAAATCAGTTCATTTGGCATGGGGTGGCATTGGGTTGGGCCAACTCCATATACATATATAGACACGTAAAAGGAAAAAAAAAACAAAAACGACAAGAAAAATTACAATCGTCAAAGTTGATGCACATTTGTGGGGCCATGTGCGTGTGCGCGCTCGCGATCACAGAGTTTGTGGCGCATATGCATGCGATGCGACGGATGTTAAGAATCAAGTACTTTCCATAAATCGTTCTTTTCACCCTCCCACCTTCTCACTATCTCTCCATTTTTCCCACTCCCATACCATTACATAACGCTAAAATGCTAAAACACTGTGTACGAACATCGAATAAGCGCCTTAAACATATGATACACTTTTCCACTGTTTCATTATCAATTTATCATTCATACAACGCTGACAGATTTAGTCCAAAAAGTGCCATTTCTGTTTTATTCCATTTAAATGAGCACTAATGAATTCTTGATGATCCTCAATGCATCAAAAACCAAGCGAAAGTATTTCATGCACATTTGAAAATACATTCGCTTGCACTAATTTTTTTTTTCGTTGTTGTTGCTCGGTTGATGATGTTGTTGCTCACTCTGGTCGCTCATCGTTGTTGTTGCTGTTTTTTTTCTGTTACTCTTGCTATTGTTGTTGTTGCCTTTTGAGTTAAAGTTAGTTTATGTGTGTGTTTGTGTGTAATATCGAGATTAACTTGTTATGATAAAAGCTCATTTCTTTTTTGAGTTTGTTCATCTACAGCATTGCGTGTCTGTTTTCATTCTCTCTCTCTCTCTCTCTCTCTCTCTCTCTCTCTCTCACACACACACACACACTTTTTATGGAGCAAGTAAGCACGTCAAACAAATCCGAACTGGCAAATCAAATGAGTTGTGAGATGTGCGTTTCTTGAAAACATTTAATTTTGTTTGTCCCGCTTTATTATTATTATTTTTTTTACTTGAATTCTTTGGTTGGGGTGTGTTCGAAGCACCAACAAAAAGTTTGTGTCACTTTGTTTTTTGGTGTTCATTCTTTAGATTTCAATGTCACACGTTAAAAATTACTTTCGAATTGTAACGAGCAAAAGCAAAGTCATCCAAAAAAATATGTGCAGGTGTTTGGTAGCGTTCGCGCATTCATATTGCAAATTATGGAAATGGTTAAATCGTTGGAACATATTCTCAGTTGAAAAAAAAATGAGGCAAAGATGATCAAAATACAATTGCAAAATCGGTCATTTAATGAATTGATATTAATCGTTGGTATTCATTTTTGAACGTAATTTTCTTTCCATTCTCCTCATGTTCTCTTGGTTTTCTTCTTTCATTCTGCAGAGAGGCAGCCGATACGGACACCGACACAATCAAAGGTCGCAGTCGTTAAATCGCGGTCAGGTGCTTTCTCGGGCTGAAGTTGGTAGTATGTGGTGACACCAGGGAACCTCAGGTTAGTCCATCCAGCTTGAAATAGACCGCACCATGCATGCGCGACATTTGACTTATAAACTATTTGAATCAAACTGACATTCTTTTTCTCTCTCTCCATCTCTTTCTCTTCCCATTTTTTTTGCTTTGCTTTTTCTATGTGCACCGAATTTCGGAATTGAATTCGTAGGAGGTCAGGCGAGCTGCGCAAGTTGCGCTATGGGTAATAAATTAAGCTGTTCATGTGCGCCACTTATGCGTAAAGGTTATCGATATGAAGACTCGCCATGGCAATCAACTAGACGTCGTGACGGCCATCTCCTGAGGTAAATATTCTTCATTTACCGCGCTGCCAAGCCTATCGCTTACTTTTTTCCCCCCTCTATGAACTAAAATGATTTATGCATAATTGAAAAAAAGAAGAAGAAGAAGAAGAAGAAGAAGAAGAAAAAAAGCAGAAAAAATGAAACCAATTCCTAAAATAACCGAAAAAATAGATCACATAACCAGCATATTCCCATTCGTTCGCTTTTCATTTTTCCTGTCAAATCAACAAAAAAAAATTGCATTGCATGCCCAGTTTTTTTTCTCGAATTTTTATCTCATTTCCATGTGCATTTACATAATTAAATTGCACTATTCCATTCATATACCACTTATATATAATTCATTATTCTCTTTTTTCTCATATTCTTATGTGTATATTGACAAGAATTTATCCAATAGAAACAACAGTACTCTGTGTTTTACATTTAAAATTGTTGAACCAAAAACAAATTAACGAAGAAATCATTTAAAGTAACAAAAAAAAAACTCACAAATAGAGAAAGAGGCTAGATGAGAGGCGTGTGTGCGAGATCATCCAATAGATTTGCTAGAAAATGCATCCATGACATCCATTTTATAGGCGAAGAAGGATCAGTTGAAGTAACGGTCTATCCGATCAGGTGGATTTAGTTCGATTGTATGAAAATCAACATGAAAATTCAGAAAAAAACAAATATTTATTTCCATTTTTGTTTATACTTTATTCGAAAAAACCCACACACTCATTATTAGATTAGCGAATGTACGAGCATAATGTTCTTAATTCATTCTCAATCATTGATCAAGATCGTTTTTTCTGGCAATATTTTGAATTCTAAACTAAAATTTCGTTGATACTTTGAATTAATACTACGTTGAATTAATATATCAGAGTCTTAAGAAAAAAGTCCAGCGCAACGTACTGAAATTACCACGAACGATTGAAAGTAAACAAAAAAAAATGCAATATCTTTTCTGATTTTTCGGTTGATCAAATGCATAAATATACAGAACCATTGCATCACCAATCACACTATGGATATATCAACACTATGATCACAAGTATACTTGAGGCTGTGGGTTCGTCCAACACATCCAATTTCCTTTATACATGTTTATTTTATTTTATAGTTTCACATAAACACTTCAAAAACCCATGAGTTCATGTTCATTTTATCAATATTGTATGTGTGTGTAAACCAATTCCATAAATAGAAACGCGCGAATCATGTGAATACTAGTTCTGATCTTAATAATCATCATTTGGGTTTTAATATTCCAAATTCAAATGAGGACTGATGTCGTTTTGTGTTCCATTCATGCATCCAAACATCAACAGTAACAACCAAAATCAATAGCAAAACAATCAAAATCATTCCGTAGATTATTATGCATTTAAGCGCAAGCAAAACCGTTTATTTATATTCGACAACAATGAGGTATTATGCATTTTCATCTGTTCGAAGACACAACGCACAAGATAAGATGCAATCGCGAACAGATAGATATTACACACACATCTGTATATGTAAAAATAAACGAGCCAAAAAGAAATGCCGGGAGATGTCGAATAGATACGCGATGCGTACGCTTTTTGATCGAAACGCAACACCATCATCACTAGAACTAAAATAGAGCCAAAAAGAAATTCATGAAACCAAATAAAGAAAAAGAAAGCGTTCAAAAACGAGAGAAAAAGAAACGAACCAAAACAGAAAAAAAAACACAAAATCAAATGCGTGTTTAAATGTAAAACAAAGTTAATGTTGTTTTCTTTTTATTATGACAAATTTCAATTTCATTAGTGTATTCAGGTTGTGGGCGGAGGTGTTCCATGTATCGGCCAGCGGCGCTGGAACGGTCAAATGGCAGCAAGTATCTGAAGATTTGGTTCCTGTTAATATCACATGTATACAAGATACACCCGAATGTGTTTTCCACATAACCGCTTACAATAGCCAAGTTGACAAAATCTTGGACGTTCGACTCGTGCAACCAGGTAATATGGTTTATGTAATGCTTTCTACCGTTAAATTACCCCACTTCAGTGGTGCATTTGACCATTAATTCACATACAATCCCGTCCGAATCGGATGAAATTCGGGTAACATCCAACTGTACGCTACACTCGAATTACATCCATTTGTGACGGTAATAATGTGTGTGAAAACTGACTGACTGACTGACTGAGAATTATATATGTACAACAGATTTGATCGTTTTCATCTTTGAATCAATTGAGAAATCAGAACCGTTGTGCAACATTTTCAATTGTAAATGTCACTTGAAATCTTCAAACTATTCATTAGCTCTAGAAATATGCACGATATAATAATCATTTTCAGTATAAAAAACTGTCGAAGCAAAAACATTTTGCTTCCCTTTGGAGATTTTCCTTTCTATCTCCAATTCGTAAAACAGCAGTTTTGACGCAGCAACCGTCATGCCATGCAAATGTGGTGTTCAAAGGATGAAACATTGACGTCGAACATTGACAAGAAATTGACGCACATTTCTTTGAGTGAACATTAAACGAAAAAAGGCAATTTTTTTGCGAAATAGTTGCTTTAATTGCGAGACCAAAACCCTTTTACAGGTATGTACGGCTAAGAATAGAGTTTTTTCACAAATTAAATTGTGGATTATTTTGGAAATTGTTGTGAAATTGTTGTTTCGTCATATCGGTTCACATTTTCATGTAATGACATGTTCAAAGCGGGAAAAATCGCAATATTTCAGACCGATTGCATTGATTGACGCGAATAAATCAATATAAATTAATTCAATCACAACAAGTTTTCCCATTTTTTTTTGTTACCAATTACAATTAATGGATTATGGTTTTTTTTTCCAAAGATTATTTCGCAATTTTGAGGCGAGATCCGCATTGAGACAGGGAGACAGAGAGCAAACGAAGCCTGATCTATTCAAATCGTTTGGATTCATACGAAGTGGACTTATAGTGACCGAGGTGAGTTTAGTGAACGTAAAAAATTGCAACAAATTAGCGTAAAATCATGTTTTTGCGTGTGGTGTA